TTGATTGTATACCCTAAACCATCAATACATTATACACTAACCACATAATCTATACTCTAACCATATGTCTTTGAGTTGTGATTTTGCTAGTATAGTTAATTTAAAAGTGAAATTCATACTTTGATTTTCAAAACATAGATAAAAAGTGATATTTGCTAAATGTTATACCCTAACCATATATCCTATACTTTACACCATATACCTTGTACCCTAACCACGTACCATAAACATAAATTAAAAAGGGATCTCCTGCCGTTAAAGACTTCAAATGACTTCAAGTGAACATATGTTAATAAAAAACTTAGAATCGTCAAAACCATCAGTATCTTATACCCTAACCATATACACCCTAAACCATATGTACCTTATATCTTATACCCTAACCATATACTTTATATCCTAAACAACGAACCGTCAAAGATTACTTATCAAGTTTAGTATAAACTGTTGTAACTAATGGTTAATTTATTTATTAGCCCATAAACAATTACATACATATATACATATTAGCCTTCAAAGCATATAAGAATAATTTTAACTAGTCATGCCCTCCATATAAAAGTTAAAGATTCATATTTCAAAAGCTAAAATTATGAAAAACCAAAAAATTGAAAACACCAAATTTGTTTCCTTCTTTCTTTTCACAAAAATACTAAAATTTCCCTCCTTCTTTCTCTTTCCATACATTAGAAAAACTCAATTTTCCCTCCTCTTTCTCTTCCATAAAATTGAAAGAACCAAATTACCATCTTCTTTCCTTCTATAAAAAGTTGAAAAATCAAAAGTTTTCCTCCTTATTTCTCTTTCATAATAAAAAAAATCAAACTTTCCCACTTCTTTCTCTTGCCACATATCAAAACCACCAAAATTCCCACTTGTTTCTTTTCTAAAAAATTCAAAGAACCAAATTTCCTTCTTCTTTCTCTTCCCAAAAACTTGAATACCCCAAAATTTCCCTCTTCTTTTAAAAACATCAAATTACCAAATACATTACTTTATTTATATTTAATTGATAATTTTATTGAATAGTTAATTTAACCAAAATTTTAATTTATATATTATATTAATATTATCATAATATCAAGTGACCTTCATGTTTCAATTTTTGTAATTTTCTTAAAATACGTAATATCAAGTGAGTTTCATATTTTTTAAATTTCTTATACGAAACGATAAAATAATTTTACTTAAGTTTAGCATGAAAAACTTTATTTTGAAAAACTATGTATTGTATATTTTTATAATTATTCAAGTGGATTAGATGAAATTCGGGTTGAGTCGCTCGGGTTACGGGTTAGTTGGGTTCGGGTCAATCTGATTCGGGTTAATCGGGTTGTGGGTCAGTTGGGTTGCGGGTCATTCGGGTTGCGGGTTAGTTGGGTTGCGGGTCATTCGGGTTGCGGGTCGGGCGGGTTACGGGTTGTTGACTTTTAGTCAATTTGAATTGCGGTCGGGTTGCGGATCGGGTTGATCGGGCGGGTTAATCGAGTCGGGCTATGTTTTGACACCTATAGCTGGGATAATGGAGGTGATCGATGGCGGATGTGGATGCACTAACCAGCAGAGATGGTGAAATCATGGGAGGGGGAGAAATTGGTTTCTTTATTTATATACATAATAATTGTTTTTAATCCAAGCAGGTTGAAATAATAATTACAATTTGGGATTAAAATTTCCATGTTAGATGCCACATCATTGCTTACTAGATTTTCTGTTGAAGTAGCACAATCTTTTATTACTTTATTAACCAATTGTGTGGAGAAAATTGACGCTCTTTCTAACTTTAATATAGTTCACAATTTGCATCTCAATATCCAATGGACAATACACAACATACTAACAAATAGTAGCAGTTCAAAAATATTATTCATTTTTTTGCCTTTAGAAGTCGATTGTTAGTGACTTATTGTGATGCAGATAAGAAATATGATGAATATTCGATGATTTAAACAAGAAACAACTCTTTCCAATGTGAGAGTAGGGTGTTGGTCATTCGAATTCCTGGAACACAACCACCGCCACGCGAATAAGTAATATAGAAATTTTTGATTCATGATCCACCCACTTCAATTACCCATCCACTATGGTTTGAGTTATATATGGGTGGTCCGATATCAAACTGCGGATTAATAATCCACATGCCAACCCTTAGAAAAACTGTAAAACCGAAAGTGTAATTTCATTTTTCAAAGAGTTAAATATTAATTTTAACTAATCCAGAATCCCATTGTCCCACCGGTCAACACAACCGAGGGTGATTAGCAAGTTTGTCAAACTGGTTTATACCGTTCCACTCGTTTAGCAATTGCTATAGTTTGAGCAGGGTATAACAACTTCATGTCAGTTTAACAAAATTTGTAGAAATGTAAAAACTCATTAACATCAAATGAATTTAAGTATATATAAAAACATATTTGAAAACAATCCACTTACAATCTACATTCATATTTAAATAAAATACAACATTTCAAATAAAATAACAAATACTCTTATTTAAATACAAGATTTACCATCATGATTGTCGACCCCCGGGTCAACCCATTTTGACCCTGACCCGGTGAGAAATACGGGTACCACACACTTGAGGTTCCCTAGTTGGAGGTCATACGCTATTTTTTTCATTTGATTTGCCAAATACGCCTCATTTCCGGTGTTTTCCTTCATTTAACCCTCTCTATCGAATTCTAAGTTGAACATTTGAATATTGATTTTATATGAGTGTGTATGAATTTTCACTATATGTTGGATCCTCTGGCGGTCTCGCAATTGGGTTGTCTTTGACGGTAAACAGTTTGGGATCCCCGCCTTGATGCGCTAATTTAATCAGCAATATGAGGAGTGGGTGGGGTTAATGTATGTGTTATATGAGATTTGATATAATTTCTAAATGTACGAACAATAATTTTTTTCTCTTTCATATATCCGGGTTAAATGAGGTTAAAGCGATCGAACCATTAACTCTCAACTCACTTACTCTATTGGCCCAATGGACTAAACCAAGTTGACAACCTTGTTTAAGGTGAACATTCAAACTTTTATATTTGAATTTAGCAAATAATATCAACCTTTAACTTTCAGATTTAAAAATAAAACATAAATAAAATTTTCTGTCAATTAAATTTACTAAAACAAAATTATTTTATTTAGAAGTCGAAAATTGATCATACCGTTATTGTTGATGGTATTTATGTCGGTTTCATGACCAGGTTATAACTTATACCAGGTTAAGTTGTGGAATATGACAACCTTGGGAACGAATCAGGTCAGTAACCTTGTGGTGAGTAACTATGAGTAACCCGCCCATGCCAGCATGACATCAGCATCCTCTCTCTCCTGGAAAACCTTTAATTTTCCCTTCCTTAATCTTTGACGGACGATTTCTCACTCGTTTTAAGTCGAAATTTAATTTTTTTGCACAGTTAGATCAGATTAATTGTGCTCTTCAAAATGATATCCACTTTGATATATTTTTAGAACAAAAAAAATTGAGCCATTTTTTACCAGTCTATACCATATGGTATTGACTGGTATTGAAATAAGAGCATACCTATGGTTTGAAAAGCGTACCATGGTGGCATGACACAAACCAAAACTGTAGGATGGTTGAATACATGATAGTAGAAGTGTATTAATTGTCTTTTTCGACTTTTAACATTGTATACCATAAGATACCACCCCGTACCAGGGTGGTATTGTATGGTATTGTGTGGTATTTTTTGGTCTTGTAATTTGTTCACCCAGAAATTTGTAGATCCAATAGATCATGATGAACTCGTCCCTGCTGTGCAAACGTTTTCAAAAACGAATTAAAAACGAAGAAGATACCATATGGTACGCAGTTGGTACCGAGAGGCCAGAATTTTTTTTCCTAAAAAAATATTGAAAATTGATCTCATTTTGTAGAGTTAAAACGAAAAAGATATGAGTCAATTAAGAAAGCTAATGAAAATAAAAATGACTTTTAATTCTCCATCCCTAGATCTGAATTTTCTAAATGAAGGGTCCAAATTTGGTTATTGATAGGTGTATAACTCATGGTTATGCACCCTAACTTGAGCCGACAACCTTGGTCCATCGGGATAGGATTGAAATTCACAAGTTTAGGTGGCGGGTATTAGGGGAGGGATAAACGCAGAAGGAAGAGCACACGTAAAGTCCCAAACTGAAGCAGCCATTCCAACCAGCCCTCCCTCCCTAATTTGAGTAATTTCTCTCCTCTCCTCTTAGGGTTTCTTCCTCCTTTGAAACTGCTACAAAAATTTCCCAATTTTTTTATACCCATTTTGATTTTTGCTAATCGGCGGCCTAGATCCGGCCAGGCTACTGTAATTGTAAGAACCAATATCCACCCCGGCAGCACGCACTACCACCACCGTCGCGCGCTGCTGCTGTTTGCTGGAAGCAAGGTATCTCTCGCCATCTTTTCCTTGAATGTTGCCCCGAGGTTCCGATTTGATTAACAAATTGATGAGTAATGGGTTGATGCCCATCTCAGTTTGTCTTCGTAGCATTTTTGTTTGCGTGAAGCTTAAGAAGAACTATTCCCTTCTCTTTTCAATTGCCTTTCATTTAGAAATGAAAAAGAAGTAGAACACAGAAAGGTATGCTGTTGTTTTCTTCTATAGACGAAGTTGTGTGAAGCTCAAGAGCCGTGAATACTCAACTAATTGCCGTATTTCTTTGTTTATTTTTTGTATGCTTTCTCTTTCTCCATTTTCATCAATGGGAAGAGTAGTTTGTATGCGGAGCATGCTAGCATATTCAATTGCTATCTCCTACTGCTTGCTTTTCCAAGCAATTATTGCGAGTCTCTCTTCCTTCTTGGCTAGGCCAGTTTGTTTATAAGATGTTTTATTATGCTTTGAGCTCAGTTCTTTGTATACTTGCGTTTCTGTAGGCGGGGAACTGAACACAATTTCTGGGATCGGCACTTCTGCATCTTGGGAATTGAGGGTTGGAGTTCCTGGGGATAGGCATAATTTATTGTCTACCGGACAGTCATGGGAGGCTGCTTCGCCAAGGTAGGTACTTTTTGACATTGATGTGCGCCAAAAACTGAGCTAAAGGCTACCTGTTAGTTTTAAACACTGGCATCTCTTTTGTTTGATTTTAACGAAGAACAATGGGCCTTTTCATGCTTCTCATGTATAAATTGTATGCAGATCTACTCCCCTTTCTGGTTCGGTTGTATATAAACATCTGAGATGAATAGTACATTAGGATCTTGTAGATAGCAAAAAACAGTTCCTTCTGATGCTTGTATTCCTTTGTGTTAATTGGTTGTGAAGTGGGGACTTGCTACTTCACGCCCTATGATCTGTTGGCTGATCCTACCTGGTTGGTGACAGTGAGGACTTGCTACTTGTTATGACTGTAGCATTTTAGAATTTGTTAACATGACATGTTGGAGGCCAGGGAGCAAAAGTTCTGGGTTAAAAGAAACAAGTGCACTTTAATCTTGCCCAATACAAGTCATCTGGTATCCAGGCAGCCAGGCTGCATACCTGAACGACCTTTTCCAGAACAATGGTTTTGGGTTTTACCCTGTTCATTCTCTTTTGTGAATATTTATTAAGTATTCAATCTTACATCTCAGTGCGAGCTTTCTGATAGCAGTAAGCCACTAACTAGCAATAGTTTCACTATTTTGTCGGAGCGTTGGTCGTTGCCTGGCATACATGTTAGTCGAGTTTCCTAACTTCAATAGATGATCGCTCCCCTGGTTTTCTCCATTATCGGCTTCTCACATAATCCCCACGTTTTCATTTCTGTTGGATAGTGTTAACTTTTCAAGTATGACAATTGCAGGGCTTGTGTTCTACTATGTTAAATTTGTTGTGTCATCCAAATGCTAGTGTTGCTATTTTTATTTTCCAGAGTCAAAATGACGATGATGATTCAGAGCACCCAATTGAATTTGCTGGTGGAAACGTGCAAGTCGTTTCCACTGAGGAGAGTTGGAAAGAGCATCTAGCAGAAGCAAGCAAGGATGGGAAAACGGTATCTTCCTGTTCCTCTATAGATAGTTTTCTCGTGTTTACTCTTTCTCGAAAGTCCATCCTTAAACCTTTCAAAAAAAAGTTCCATTCTTAAAGTAGCCTTTGTATTACCTTCTACTAGTTACTTACTCTGCCGTTGACGCCTTATCTGTAATACCTTACTGTCTGCATCTAAATACTTTAGTCAAGACAGAACCCAGAACATCGTTTCATGGTATTGATCATTAACCTAGGGTTGTTTGGCTGATGGATTGTACTTTCTTTGAAGGAATGACTGAATAATTGTTGAAATAGATAAGAGTTACGAATTGATAGATTTCAAAAATTGATAGATTATAAAAATACATCGATCGGACGAGGGATTTTTTTAATGTATTGATAGCGGATCATGGATTCTTCTTTATTTTCTTTATAATGGCCATGAATTCTTCTAGTAATGCTAGAAGTATCAAAATGCCCTTAGATTATAATTTTTGAAATGTATTATGTGGATAATATGTAAAGTGAAAAATCAAACACATTTCTCATGATATGGTTTTTGTTGGGAGAAAACCCCGAAACGATTTCTCTCCGAGTATTTTCTAAATTGTTAATGATCTCCCACATTTTTTATGATGTATTGGTTTTAGGGTTCATCATTGATAACAGGGAGAAAAAGGCATTTCAAAGCTAGGTTAGGGAAAAATAGTCATTTGCCATGAATGGATATTATATGCCTTAAGCCAACCCCTCCCACTTTAGCATCTCAAATCTATCATATTTTCTATTTAAAAATTATACCTAGCACAATCCATATGGTCTATTGGAAGCCGAAGGATTTACTCCCAAAACCAATCTGCGAAAAACATAAGCCAAATGAGGTTTTTCTTTTGTGTCTGTGTGCATGTGCGTACTTGTGTAAAATGAAAAAAGATGAGGCCAAAATATAAAGTTAGACTACTGGAAGATTAAATAGTCACCAGTACCTGCTTTTGTTCAAGGACACAAATTAGCTTCTCAGTTAAAGCTATTTCTGTGTATCAAGTAACAGTTCCTTGAATTGGGGAGATAAATTTTGATTTGGTTGGTTGAAGTAAATCACTTTGATTCAAGGTCTTAATCTGGGCACGAATGGGATGTTTTTGAACAGGTGGTTGCCAATTTCAGTGCAACGTGGTGTGGTCCTTGCAGAATGATAGCGCCATTCTACACGGAGCTGTCTGAGAAACATCCATCACTAGTTTTTCTTTCGATCGATGTGGATGAACTAACGGTTAGTTAACTGTCATCTCCTTGTCTTACTATCCCGATAGTTGATGCCTGTCGTTGTGCAAATAATGTGGTGGGCAAATCCACCTTTACTCTGTTCTAGTAAGCTAATCAAGTAGTAAAGGGGTGGGCAGATGATATTATCTGAGTTTGGTGTCACGGTACAAGGTTAAAAATAGTAGCTTCGATAATAGTTATGAGGAACATATGAGTTTGAATCATGGATGGTGGGGAATGCCATTTGGTGCTAAGCTCTAGCAGCGTGATAACTACTAGTGGTGGGAGATTAAGTGAATGATTGGATGTGTTAAAGAATAATATGGTTTTGTGAGGCAGGAATTGAGCACTTCGTGGGAGATTAAAGCAACGCCAACGTTCTTCTTTCTGAGAGATGGGAAACAAGTGGATAAACTAGTGGGAGCCAACAAGCCAGAACTGCAGAAGAAGATTACAGCGATCGTAGACTCAGGCGGCGGCCATTGTGAAGAGAAGTGATTTTGCTGTTTCATCAATCTGTTATCCTGTGTGCGTGCACGCACATGATGCTAATTAACGTCATGTATCCGTTTTGGTTTTTGTTATCGTCATGTCGACCATGGTCTGTGGTGTCTTGGGTGTAATTTTGGTTCGTTGATCAGGGCGAGAGTGTATCGAGTTTTGGTGATGGTGTTTATCCTATCCATGTTGGTGGGTGGGTGTGTTGGTATTGATCTTGTTCGTTTCTGGAATTGTTTGTGATTTTCATGTAGATATGGTATATGATTATTGAATAAAGCTGTGTGTGTGTGTTGGCCGAAGTTATCCATTGGTTTAGTGGGCGTGAGGTGAGACGTGGGTGCAACTTGCAAGCTTGCTCCAGGCCATCATCATCTGTCATCACTACACTAGAATTGAAAAGTGGGATCTATGATAATAATAATAATAAGTTAGGGGAAGTTGGTTCGTGATTTCCACTCAGGCGGTTGGTTGGCCCCAGTCCAGCACCATAAACAACTAGCCTTTGATTTCGTAACTCGGTATCAAACCCAACAACCTCCGTCGTTGAAGAAATGGAAACGCGACAACGTGAAATGCAGTTGGTTCGCTGCTGCTTATGATCATTCCCTGCAGCACATGGCCAGCAAGCAATGCATAGCATCTACCACCAACATAAACAACACCGGCAAGGCGTTATTCGTCTGAGAGCGCGGAACCAGATGGTGACTGCGAGCGACGGTCTCAATAATCCCAAAATCATAAAAGTCGTTATTGGACGTTGACGAGCCAGATGTCTCTCATAAACGCATGATATTCCGTCTCTCTTTTTTTCACAGTAAGGTTGCTTTAGTGCATTTCATAATCATGTTGAGCGGATATCCAGGAAACCTTTCATGGCCATTTCTTTAGGTCTTTGTTTGAGAACCTCGGTAATCTTAAACCTTCAACTAGTGTTTTTGCTTCAGCTTGTATTGGTGTTTCACAAAGCAATTTACTTGCTCATCCATGATCCATCACATGTTCGTGGTTATTGCCCGCAATAACGCCATAAGCTAGGTAGGGGATATGAACAAATTATGTAATATGAATTTATATTATATGCAATATGAATTTCCGGATTTTTCTAATTTAAACAAATTATGTATTTATTTCATATCATTAATAATTTTATTACAAAAAAAAAAAAATCATATTTGGCGCCCAAAATTTGAAATTATGGCTTCGCTTGTGGACGGTGGGGCTAATTAGGGCTGGAAGTTTGGTACTTGAGATATATCGAATATCGCACCAAATTTGTTGAAATTTGGTATTACCGAATGGAAAATACACATATTATTTCATAGGATTGGGATTGAGATTTAACTTCATGTGTTATTTGATAGTAGAGCATCTCCACTAGGAGCTCTAAAGTGCTAGACTTTTTTTTCTCGAAAGTAAAGTGCTATAGTGTCAAACTTTATTCTTTTCTAATATAGTTTAGTGTAGATTATATCAATTTAATTAGATAGTTTTGTATATTATTCTTATGTAGTTAGTGATAATTAATTACGATAAATATTTCAATGTTATTTTTTTAATTTGGATATTAAAAGAATTTGTCCTTATATATGACGTCATCAATGACAAAAGCAGAGTAATTTATTTAGTATTTATAGAGAAAATATGGAAGTGGAGAAGAGAAGTTTTTAGTAACTTATGCGAAGAAGAGAAATTTTCTTTATGATGACAAGAAGAGAAAAACATAGAAATTGTGAAGTAATAGTGAAGAAATGTGGTGTATTTATAGAGGAAATCGTAAAAAAAATAGTTGTTGGAGGCTGAAATAACCTTTGGTAAGAGTTGGGTAATGTCGTAATGAAACAATATTTTGTTTTTTATTTATAATTCCAACGATCATCGACCGCCACGCACAGGATGCGCGTTTCACCCAGACGAGGGCCGCCCTCTCTCTTCTTCTGACGCGTGCGTCTCATGGCTATGGAGCGGTGAATGGGCCGCGTTGCCGTTGCCAAATGGTGGGGTTGAGCAGGCTAGCATCCATTGTCTTATTGTGTACTAGACTTAGCACCAACAATTAGGGGTGTACATAAGTATTGGGAGACGGTTTATGTGAAAACCGCGCTCCAAGGGGCCGGTTTGTATCAAACCCTAGCAAAACCGCCTTGGAAAGAGGCGGTCTTAGTGATCGTCGGATTAGGAGGCGATCCGACGGCAGACCGTTTACCAACTCAGCGGTCCGTGTAGTTGGGCTGATAATCGCCCCCTCCAGCGGCGTTTTGCATGAAGGAAACCAAAACCATGGGTGGAGGACAAGGTTTTTGGGTGGCAAAATTACAACCCCCCCCCCCCCCCCCACGGTTCTGGAAACTATAAATACCCCTAGGAGCCTGGTCCGCCGGTAGACCCACCCATTCCTCATACTGTTGGTTAAATTGTCGCATGAGCGTCGGGATCCCAAATTGTTTGCCTTCAAAGACTTCCCAATTCCGAGATTGCTAGATCCTCCAAAGGATGGCAACAACAACCATAACCACTGATGGTTGATGAATCACCGCCAACAGACGTTTGAGAAATAAAGGAAAAGTGTGTCGAGGAAAACCCTCCCCCAAGTATTCCAGCCCTGAATAGTCCTAGAGAGCCCGCGCAATCGGACAATAAAGGAACAGTGGTTCCATCGTCTCCAGACTAATACGCCCCTGGGGTGTATATTATCAAAGTAACGCAGCAAACGACTCAATCGAAGAATCGATTGAGCTCGAATCAAGAACGAAGCGCTCTTAATACGAACTTGGATAAAACGGAACCAAAAGGACGATTCCACACCTGGGGAACGCTCGATTGGTATAAAAGGTAGATGCCCGACCACGATTGAAGTGACTATTCAATCGATACAAGAGCTCACGAGCTTGGAATCCACCAAACTCAACACAAGTCGCAACTTGCACAAAAACCAAAAGGTTCTCAATTAGATTAATCAAAGTCCAAGTTTTTACAACGTAAATAGAAGAGTATTTAAAGGCAAATAAACCTAATACAAACCTAATAGAACTAGGAAACAATTAAGGTAAAAATCTACTCTAAAAAGGACTCGAAATTCGGATTTAAACTCTCTTTCTTCAAGTGCAAGTAAGCTGCCAGCGAACAGTCAAAAGACAGCTTTCGTACTAACTTCGAGCCATTTGTTCAAAGCCTTCCCGAACTCCAATCCTTCATCCAATTACTTCCCTTTGTACATAAACATACCTAGGTTCATGTTGTGGAAGCCTTTTGACTTGAATCCCATCCATGATCCTTGAATTGAGCTCCAAAGTAGGCTTCACAAAACAGTGTTATGCCTTGGCCATTTTCTGGCAGTTTTCCGGTTTTGAGGTAGTAACTTTGAGGCCTTGGAAAACAACCTTAATGACGTTGTATGGATCCAAAAAGCATACCATTGGAAACATGGAAACTTTATCTGCAAAACAAACTATTGAACTTGAACTTCCACCAAGCCAATTGAGAGAACCATGCCTCCAAAGTATGTACCCTGAACACGGATTTTGACACGGCCAAATTCTGCCTTTCTTCTTCCCAACTTTGATAGCTTCTTTGTCAAGTAATTGTGATGTGAATTGTGGGCAATTTGGGATCATATCACAGACCATCCCAACAAACTGGACACCGAGGTAGCACCCGGACCTTTTTCTCAATAAGCGCCTCTGTAGTCGGAAGAGCCCGATTAAGAATTTTCCAAACAAAAACCTTCAACTTCTGAGGGATCTTAGCCTCCCACACTCTAATCCAACTCGGCTTATCCATCCAGCTAACCGAGGATCGCCACCCACCCCTCCTCCTGTCCAAATCAACAGCCAAATGGTAAGCCAACTTTACCGAGAAAAACCCATCGGCCGTAAAATGCCAGATAAGCTTATCAGACACATCCCATCGCGGGAGAGGATTAGATTTAATAGCCCTACAGGTGGGCAGGTCAAACCATTGACTGAGCTTTTCATCCGACCACATCCCTCCCCCCTCACAAATAACCTCTGCCACCAAGGGATCACCCCCCTTAGGCAAGATCCGTGGATTATAGCATGGGGGATCTAGTTGGTACCTAGGAATCCAGTTAGAATGAAGGAGGGAGACCGATTGGCCATTACCGACCTGCCATCTTAAACCCATCTCCAATAAATGACGCCCATGAAGGATACTTTGCCACCCCCAAGAGGGACGAGACCTAGCAGTCGCGGTCAGGAAAGATCCTTGAGGGTAATACTTGCCTTTATAAACCTGGGCAATAAGTGATTGAGGTTCATTGAGAATAACCCAGCCTATCTTAGCCAAAAGAGCTTGGTTGCAATGTTCAAACTGGCGAAATCCCATCCACCCCTCATGCTTACTCCTGCACATGTTATGCTAGGACACCCATCTAATCTTGGGATTACCCTCCTCAACACCCCACCAAAAGCGAGCCACATGTCTATCTAAAAGACGACATAGAGCTAGGGGAAGACGGAAACAGGACATAACATGATGGGGAAGAGCCAACGCTATGGATTTAATCAAAGTTTCCTTCACAGCCCACGACAATGTCCTTTGCTTCCACCCTTTGAAGCCGCTCTAGGATTTTTTCCTCTAAATATCTGAACGTAGCCATTTTGGATCGAGCAACCAGCGTGGGAAGGCCCAGATATTTATCATGGACCCCCCAATGCACCAACCCCTAGGATCGTGGCCAAGAACTCTTGATCTGGCGTGGAAATATTCTTACTAAAGCACACCGCCGATTTCTCCAAATTAACACGTTGGCCACTCAGTTCCTCATATTCATTCAGCACCTCAATTAAATTTAGTTAACTTAAATATGTATTTTTAGTAAATTATTTATACATTGTGAAAAACCTTGATTTTGTTAATTCTATGGTGTTTGTTAAAATAGATTTATATATATGTATAAATCATAAACTAATAGCGAAAGTTAATTTATTCGCTAGGAGGCGCACCGTATAGTCCGCTCTAGGAGTTCCAGCGCTGTGCTCTCATGGAACGACGCCATCTTGCCCTATCTTAAAAGGGGGGATTTGGATTCGATTAGACATTTCGTAGGAATCAAGATCGACCGCCAGCTCATCATAACGTTGACAGAAAAAGGGGGGATCCGAGGATCTCTTAGAACCCGATTTTCCCAGGAAATGGGAGGACCATGATGATCGCTTAAGACCCCATCTCCTTAGGCATGCATCTCTTTATGAAGAGTCTTAGTAAGTGTTATATTGTATTGTAAATCTAATTTTATCAAATTAATTGGCCAATGTAGTATAACGCTTACCAATCCACCATAAGCTGTCAGCAAGTTTCTTTCGCTTGGAATGATGGTTCCAATTGCTCTTGAAGTGTCGTATGCACCACCTCTGAGACCACTTCCAGGATGGATCCAATCCTAAAATGGCGGCTCTGATCCCGGCATGGTGATCCGATATGAGCGTCAGGTTCGTTCTCCTGGTGACATGAAGATGGATTTGTCGGAAAAACCATCCATAGCTATCGGCGTTCTCTCCCTCAACAATGGCGAAGGCTAAAGGGAAGACTAATCTGTTTGCATCCGCTCCACTAGCAATAAGGAGAGTGCCCTTGTACTTGCCAGTAAGGAATGTGTCGTCCACTTGTATTACAGGCACACAATAGGGAAAACCATCAATACATGGCTTGAAGGACCAGAAAAGACGTTTGAAATGGAGTTTGTTACCGGGCTCCGGCAGCTGAATTTCTTTATCTTGGTAGCGGGGGGAGAAAACAGTGCGAGGGTTAAGGCCTCCAATGCCAAAATCAATCTTGGAAGGAATGCATAAGATTCTTCCCAGTCGCCAAACACGGCAGCAATTGCTTTCTCCTTCCCAGGCCACGCCTTCTTGTAGTTAATAATATAACCATAACGACTAGAAATGTCGGGGATAATGGCTTTAATCTTTAGATCGGGCTGCTGCTCAATTAGATGCTTGATAGCCGCAGCAACCACCCTGGATTTCAACTGTCGATGGCTTTGGGATGTTATGGATGACACACATGTGTGTGTTCATCGCACGGGATATGACCCAATGCCAGACTCTCTTGCTCTTGATGGCCTGGACCCTAGCCATGCACCCCTCGTGTTGATTTTGGCACCGAACTATGAGTCTCTTCGTGTCGGAATGAGTTGTGCACCATTCAAAACTCCGAGTCATTGCTTCAGTGTCAATAGCGTGTCGCACCTCCTTCTTTGTTTCAAATTGTTGGCCCTTCGTAAACCCAGTGAGTGGACCACATATTGGCACCTTTGGCAGCTCCATGTCGGCATCAACATACCAATCTTCGTTTAGAATGTGCTTGTAGTACGGGATAGGTACCCGGTCACGAGCCACTTCATCGTCAGGTGAGTCTGAATCAGGGCCTGAATCATCGACACCTTCAAGAGGGTCGTAGCTGTCTGCACTCACATCACCTTCCTCTTCTTCATCATCAGGATCGCTGATTGGTCCTGGGAGGACATCTTCCATCTCATCAAGATCATGAAAGGCACCAACATCATCTCCGTAATGGTAGTTGTGATAACTACCACTGCCTGCATGGAAGTTATACTCTGGTTGATACTGGTAGCCATCTTCTTGGTTGTCAGTGTATCCTTGGCCTTCTCCTTGTTGATACTCATTGTAGGAATGACGATCATGGTCGATTTGGTACGGATGATCTTCATATAAACCCCCCTCCACCGTGGATACCAGATGTTTGGCCTTCTCCATAATGACCTCCAGCGCCTGCGACCGGCTCGGTGTAAACATACATCTCTGCTTTGGAAATGTTATTGGTGTCAAAAATTCAACCATGGAATCTACATCCGCCTGAGTGGTTATGACGAATTCCTCATACCACAACGTCCCGGATTGTCTGTTTGGATATCGATACCCCATACGGTCAACTCTCCTCGTGCCACCTATGCAAGTAACCTCAGTACAAATTCGATGCAGATCTTCAAGGCTCGGTCTCGTAGCAACCTTCACTTTTTGTAAATTGCCATCGACGTAACGTACTCCCTTTCCGGTATCTTCCGTATAACCATTCCACCGTAACCCAAGCATGAACTTTTGGAATGTCATCTACAATAAAACGGTAACTTAATTCATACGATAAAATTTGTCAATGTTAATCGTTAATCGCAAAGCAAACTTACAATAACAAGCAATAGAAAACAAACTTACAACGTAACGTTAATCGCTATAATATAAAACACAAATCGCTAAAACAAAAACTCAAAGAAGAATAGGAAGAGGGAAGAGGGGTGCAATGCTGTGTTTTCCGGGGCTGCCTTTTATAGCAAAAAATTTCATGAAAATCGCCCCCCCTCCCCCCTAAGTGGTTTTCACAAAACACACTCCCCACTCTAGCAGTCCCCTACATGCCGACTGTTTTCCTATCGGGAAAGTGGGGAAAACACATGAAAACCGCTCCCCCCAGGGCGGTTTTGGTGTCGACATTGAAACCGCTCCCCCATAAACGGTTTTCACAGACCGCACAATGGGGGAGCGGTTTCTATCATGTTGACCTAGGGCAGCCTTCAAACCGCTCCTGGGAAGAGCGGTTTGTTGCCCAAACTAAAACCGCTTCTTCCCAGAGTGGTTTCCAATGAAAATGCCTCCCCTGGAGACGGTTCTTAGAAAAAGGTGGTATAAGTGGAAATTTTTTGTATTGGATGGTATTTTTGTAATATTTTTTTAAAATAGTGGTATTTCTAGAAAATCCCCCACAAATATGTGTTGGATACGAACAATTATAACAATAGTTCAACACGAGTTGGGTTGGGTTATACGGGTTGCATTACCCAAAATCCGGACTCAACCCAATAGAGGCGGGTTGTACATAAGAAAACCCTCACCCAACCTTAAACTTTAATTTTGACGATAAATACGAGATGGTTGGGTCGGGTTGGACAGGTGGGTCGGTTTGTGAGTTGTTTTGTTCACCCCTACCAACAACTTCAAATTTTAGCATTTTTAAATTTTGAAATGATTGTTGGAGGACAGATAGTGCTACTTTAGGATTTTAGAACTCCATTAAAGATGGTATTAGAAATTACGGGATTGAGATTAATATATACCAAAATATCGATGAATACCCAAATATAAGATAGTGTGAAATTTATTCCTCTCATCTCTACTCCCTCACTCACCACTACAAGACCCTAAACCGCCATTATGGCCACATTTTCCCTAATATGTTGTTATTATATTTGAGATTTTTTTTTCATTTATTTTGCTTGAGTATTGACAGCATTGTTTGCTTTTATAAAATTTGAGTATGGTTTGTGAAGCTGTGGGCAAAGGAGAAATATTTGATTTTGTATATTTGATAGAAAATTCTGAAGGAAATTAAGATCGATAATAAAGAAAATATTAGAAATTGAGATACTAAATTTATTTGAGAGTAAGATTTAATTTAGGACATTGTTTTTCCGTATTCACAAATCATAATTGTGATATTTGGTACTGAAATACACCGATTTCCACTCTGGATGGATGAGCGAATGGGCCCACAAAGCCACAACCAACGAAACGCCGCACCCATTCTCTCACCGCGTCGAGCTCAGCAAATCAAACGAATTCAACATTTGGGATTGGGATGATGTCCTCCAGCTCACCACATCCTCTCTCTGTTCTATTCTGGCGCTGCCTGCAAAGCAACAATGCTCTGCCCACGTTCTTCATTCAATAATACCAAACAAACAAATATTCGCTGCTTCCACTCTCGCTCTCACCCTTTCCACCTCCAATCCATTACTGGAGCAAAGTTCCCCACCGTGATTTGGGCATTGAGGTGAGGTGAGGTGAGGTTGTCCATTTCCTTTGGACTCACTTTCCCGGAGCTATACCACTGTGCCTAATGGGAAATCAAACTCCTTTTGCCCTTCCCCAATATTGCTATCAGCCAGCCAGCCATATTCTGCAGAACAAAACATATCAAAGATACTGTTTTCCCACTCACCAACTCCACAAATGTCTTCGATTCATTGCCCTCCACATGCAAATATAATTCTCTACCACATCCCAACACCTCCAATCAACACACCATCAAAACCAAAACAAAAGAAACAAACAACATTTTGTATAAATTTCAACCAACAACGACATTGTGTTCATCTGTCAGTCACAATAGACCCACCCAGCAGCAACAAATTACAATCACCCTCACCCTCCCCTTGAATTATTTTTTACACCCCACCTCGCTGTAGATAAATACATAAACCAGTACTCTTCTCTTATATTGATGATGAGAACGCTAATAACCCAAGGTAATAAAACAACAAGCCAAAGATAGATCCATGTTACAAAACGAATGAAATATATCAGATTTAATCCTTCCAGTAAAAAACTAAAACGCCGTTAGGCCCCCCTCTGCTTTCTTTTCCATGCACTCTCATCCATCCTAACGCCCCTTAGGGTTCATGATCTGCGAGAACACCGCGCTGGGAGTCAGCCCGTCCGAATCTTCACTCGCAAGGCTCCTCCCCCCGATGCTCATGCTCATCCCGCTCGTCTGCGTACCATCCAACCCAGGCGACTCCTCGTTCGGGTCCTTCTTCCCCCCACCACACCCGGTAAACGGCTCCTCCTCCTCGTTATCGATCCCACCTCCGCCACACACCTTCCCGCTCTCCTCCGCGCTCTCCTGCAACTGCAGCGCAAACTCCAAGTTCCACAGCACGTCACCCATCGAAGGCCTCTCGATCCCTTGATCAGAGACGCACTTCATGGCTGTCTCGGCAAACTTCTTGAAACACTCGGGGGCTATCTTCCCCTTCAAGTAAGGGTCCTGAATCTGTTCCAGCATCCCCTTCGTGTGACAGTGGGCAGCCCACTCGGCCAAGCTCACTTGCTCCTTCGCCAAGGTAGGGTTCAATGCAGGCCGAGCACACAGACACTCGAACAGAACCACCCCGAAAGAGTACACATCAGACTTATCCGTCAGCTGCTGCCTCCTGAAATACTCCGGGTCCAAGTACCCGAAACTCCCCTTCACCACCGTGCTCACGTGGGTGTGATCCAGAGACGGCCCGGTTTTCGACAGCCCGAAGTCGGAAACTTTCGCCACCCACTTCTCGTCCAACAGGATGTTGGTCGTCTTCACATCCCTGTGAATGATTGTATGCTTGGCACCCGTGTGGAGGTAATGGAGGCCACGGGCAGCGCCAATGCAGATCTCCAGCCGTTGCTTCCACGGCAAGGGAGGCTTTTGAGTCTTGTACAGGTGCTCACGCAATGTTCCATAGGCCATGTAATCGTACACCAGAATCATCTCGCAGTTCTCCTCGCAGTATCCGATCAAGGAAACAAGGTGGCGATGTCGGAGCTTGGAGAGCATCTCTATCTCGGTCTGGAACTCGTGGACGCCCTGTTCAGACAACGGGTTGCCACGCTTGATAGCAACTTTCATCGTCCCACCATCCACCTCTCCCCTGTACACTTTACCAAAGCCTCCTACTCCGAGGACACGAGAGTCGTCGAAGTTGTGGGTGGCGGCCTTGATCTCAGCAAAGGAGAAGTGGCGGCAGAGGTTCGATGGCAGAGAAGAGGCATAGCTTCCTGTTGTGTTTGTCTTGGCTGAACCTGCTGAGTGCGAGTTGCCGTATAGAGAGAGTGGAAGCCAACCGGATGGACCATCGCTCGAATTCGGCTCCTTCCCTTGCCTACGGCGACGAGATTCATTAACGAAGCAGAAACCGGCAATAAGGGCGACGACCAAAGCAGCTGATAGGCAACCGGCGATCACTGCAACGCGGCTTTTGGAATGCTTGGCTGCCGGCCTAACCCTGGAAGGGTCAATTACTTCTTGCTTGGGGAGAGGAATTGGATTAGGGCCGGCGAGATTACCAGCTGGACTGCTTAGCTTGAATATCTCGACTCCATTCAAGATTGCGTCGTAATACTCTGGCTTAGAAGCGTTATTGGGATTAAGTGCTAACCAAAGGTCCTGCTGAGGGGTTCCGCCGGCGACCAGAACAACATAATCCTTATGAACCGGAACACCACTACTTCCGGCGTAGGCAATCACATCGAAAGCGTCTTCTGCCGTCCGATTGTTGATGTAGACTTTGAACACCCTCTGGTTTATCTTCGTGATATTGGACATCTCACAGAAATGGAGCCTGACCAAGTAATTGAAGCCCGAATCGACATTGAATATCCAGGTCAAGTTGTAATTCAGGTTGACTTGCGGCCCTGGACCCATGGATCTCGCCGTGAGGTAGAGATTCTCAGGGGCGATGTAGGAAGGGGTTCCAGAAGGGAATTTGAGGCTGGTCCCAGGATCAGCAGACTCCGCAACTCCAATTGCTGCACCGTAGATGTAGGGCTGGTCATCGCTCCACGACCGGAGCATCCCAGTGTCGCCGGAAGGCGATATATCGTTGCCTCCGACATTCAAGCGGTAGACATTCTCCAGGGCCGATGAGTTATCGATGGCATAAGTACCGCTCTGTCCTACGATGGGCAGAGCTCCATTGGGATCTCCGTAGATATTATCCATGGACACAACCTCAATCCCATTCACAAACGCGAAAGATCTGGAAGAAGTCGTGGATGGGGAGAACGTTACATTGAGGGATCCGGCGTCGACGTTGATGGAGTACTCCTTCACGACGACGTCCCAATTGAGAGCCGATGCAGTCTGGGCGGCGCTGAAGTTGTTGAGCAGGGTGAACCCCCCGGCGGAGACGGAGAAGAGAGCATCGGTGGAGTTGAGATTGTTGCCGTAGGAAGCTGGGTAGAAGTAGAGGCGGAGGAATTTGTGGCCCGAACCGACGGGGAAAGTGTAGGTGAAGTTTGACCGGAAGATGCGGGCGGACATGAAGGGGACCTGAGCGACCCCAGGGTTTTGAGAGGCCGCGGCGGCGGTCAGGGAGTTCCCCGATGGGGGCAAGTACTTGGAGCCCTGGTTGTCCGGGTGCCACGTCTGGCTATCTGTGTCGTTGAGATCCGTGCTGGCGCCGCAGTTGAGAAGGATTTTGTCCGTGGGGGCATAGTTCTGAGCTCCGATGAGGTGGAGGGAAGCGGCGGCGGCGGCGAAGTAGCAGAGGAGAACCCAGGAGAAGCTGAATCCCTCCTTCTTCCTCATGGATTTGGGCTTCCTGGGAAATTTGCCGGCCGGCGGGGTTCAAGGGAAGGAGCTGGAAATCAAGAGAGGGTAAAGATTAAGTTAAAGATCTGAACGCCTAGTAGAGAAAGGAAATCAGATCCATCAAGTTTGAGATGCCGGCGGAGGCCGGATGGTGCAGGAATGAGTCTAAAAGGCAGGAAGCATCGGAATAATCGATCACAACAGAGATTTGAGGATGCAGATAATGGAAAACAGTACCTGAGATGGGAACGGGGAAGGAGTGCAAGAGCTCTGTGGCGATGGCCGGAATGAATGACTGAGAGAAGCGCCGGCAGAAGAAGGGAAGGAAGCTGGCTAGGGCTGGTGTCAGCCTGTGGTGGTGGTGGAGGTCAATGAACAGAGAGAGGAAGGGAAGTGGAAGAGAGAGAGAGAGGGAGAAGGAGAAGGACAAAAATGAGAAGAAAGCATGAGAAATTGGGCTCTTTCCTTTTTAAGACAGCAACTCGATTTTGCTGCCGTTAATCGGACTTATTGGTGTAAACTATTTTAACTGTCAAAAGTATAGAGGGAAAATGAAAAATGGGGGTTTGGTTGATTATATTCCTGTTTCCAGTTGGTTTATTCCATATTTTGAAGTCTGTATTCTGATTAAAAAAAAAGTCTGTATTCCGGACGTGATGAAATAATACTCGGCTGGAGAAGTAATGAGCAACAACTGTAAATTATTCGTCAACTTTGGACTATATACTAAGATAATAATGGTGTTCCAAATCAGAATAGTATACTATGATAGTAAAAAAGAAAAGAAGTTCTCATTGGAGTTTGATAAGTTCATACATTAATTTGAACTTTATTTGCTAAATGATATTTGGTAGGTAAATCTTTCCGGGAATCAATTTGTACAAACCATTTTATTGTAAAATGAATTATCGTATAGAATTCATTGTCAAATGAAATTTTGTGTTTGGTATCTCATATTCAAATCTTTATAAATAAAAGGAATTGTCGTGTAGAATTCATTGTTAAATGAATTCCTATGTTTGGTATGTTATATGTATAAGTAATTTAGTTAATAAAAAAGAATAATTATATCATTCTATTATAAATTAGTAAATTCTTGTGGAATTCATTTGAATATTCTATCTCAATTTCTCGAAATTGCTATAACTAGTTTCAATTCCATAGAATTCAAAATTTAGAATTGGAAAAGAATTCTTTTAAATACCAAACATAAAAATGTTTCATTTCAAAATAAATTCCTCAAAACTGATGGAATTCATTTATACCAAACGGTATGATAAAAATTGTGAAACTCGAACGATAAGCAAAGTAATAGGTGTTTGGTTGGATGTGATTCGAAAGATGAAATTAATAAGAGATAGTATCCTATTTTGGTCTGAATTGTGGCGTAAATGATAATTTTAAACTTAACATTCAAATAAGACAGTTGTATCCAAATTTTCAAAATATGAACGAATTTGATTCGAAATTTGAGTTGAATGTTAATATTGAACATCAAACATTCATTCCCGCTGTGACTCAGCATTCACGGGTGACGTTGATTCCACTATCATTATTTGTATAAACCAAAAATTACAAAAAAAAATGGTTGAAAAAATACAAAAAAAAAAGTTAATAAGTCTAAGGGCCGCTAACTAATGTTGCTCACATAATGGCGCATGCGATGATAGGTTGGAACGGGAGAATTGTTTGGTTGGATCCACCATCTATTTATCTTGTTAGTCAGTTGTAACAGGACAATGTAACCGCTTTAACCGATTAATGAAAGTTTATCCAGATTTCCATAAAAAAATGACCCTTAGTTACTCCATGGTTTCTTGCATGTCAACTTTTGTGGCGATTGTCAATCTTTGGTTCGACACGTTCGAGAGTAGGACACTTAACATGCATCTGGTGGAGCTATTCTAGAGAAAATTCGTTTGACATCTTTTTTTCTTTTTCCATTTTTTTATATGTATACACCTCGTTTGTACAATATGGCTATCCACTTAGTGGCTACTAAAGTTCTTTTATTGACAATTCAATTGTTTGTTGACTATCGTAGGTGGTGATGGCAGTCTAGACCCATCCCGACGGGTTTTCTCCGACCCGGTCCGTGGCGGGTAGAACCTGACCCGTCCTAGAACGAGGCAGGTGGTGACCCGACCTGCGACCATAACAAGGCAGATATGGGTTTGTTATTTGCCAGGCCCGTCCCACCAACTTATAGCATCTGGATTGTGGAGTAAAGAGAAATAAATTCTCATTAGTCATCACCCACCAAAGTGTGTTCTACATGGTGGGATCATTTTGAAAAAGTTCTAATTGACAATGAGAGGAAAGAAAAATGAAAATACTGTCAATACTTGTTGCTTGGCCTGCAAATAAGTACTGCATAGTTCATCTGATCAGGCACTGCTGGAAATGCCCCAAACAAAAAGGCCAAATGGATTCAAAAGGGTAATCATTTTCTGTTTTCAGTTCTTAGAAGTCCGATTACATTATTTATCAACTTATTAATAATGAATTATGGTGTAGATCCTGCATCAAAACTCCAAAAGACAACACGAATGAAGAGGTAACCAACGAAGTTGAGGTAATTCATTTACAACTTAGCTCAAAACTTGTGAGCCAAATAGAGTTAGTCGTTGTTGTCCATGAACTGGAGGCACTTTGTTTTTTAATGGGTAGAGCAATTGACATATGAAGTGTTCTGATAGCAAAAATTTGTTTCCAGGCTTGAGATTGAAGAAGTGTTGGTTGCTACATGCCTACATCGATGATCAAAGGTCTAGGAGTGCAAATTTGGAGTTCATAACTAAGGATTGAAGTCTTTAAGTAGCTAGTTCTGCTCCGTTTTGAATTTCTTATGGTTTATGCAAGTTTGTTTTTGGATTTGTATAACAATTTTAGTTCCTAGAGGAGATTTAAAACTTGCTTCTGGATTTTAGTTGGAGAACTAGTTTCTGATGGTTTATGAGGGTAATTTTTGTAATTTTTAATTTTGGAAATTTGAGCTTCCGATGAAATTAACTTTATGAATTATAGATGGTAATTAGTTTTTGAAGCTTGTTATTAAAAATGACAGTCACGCTTAAACAAACAGGGCAGGGCGGGTTCGGTCAAAAAGTAATGACCCGTAGCGGGGCATGGGGCAAGGCGGTCCTGGTCCAAAATGGCGAGGCATGGCGTGGGTTTAGGGGTACCCACCCCAACCTTGCCTCGTTGCCAACTTGTCATCACTTGTTGCATGTGGTTACTTTGTGAGCTGTTAATATCTATTTTGAACTCTATCTATGCAAAAAAAAAAAAAAAAAAAAGCCTAAACAAAACAAAACGAAAAACAAAAACCCTTCCTTATCTTCTTCTCACTCTCCCATCCCCTCTCATCCTCGACAACTTGATAAAATTTCTCTGCACTTCATAAGCCGCAACCAATGATTGTTCAGCCGTCGACATCGTTATCCTTCCCTTGTCGCAAGTCCCTCCTCTCCTAGTGCGCCTGCAAATCGGAATCTATTTATGCAAACCCTCAAAACTGGAAAATGAATTAGTTCTAACCATGAGAGCAAGTCCCCCTATGAAATGGCATAAGCGACAAGCCCTGCGAGATCTAAAGCTACGTCGCCATCGAGGATCGAGCTTGGATCCAGGTTAAGAGTGTGCCAATCCTGGTACAAAGATTCGATTCAACTTCAAACTTGTAAGAGTATGTTTTCGATTTTGATGTTTCCTAGCAAAATCGGAGACTATGGTTTTAATTCCTATTGTTGACGAACACTGCATCTAGTCTTCATCTCCAACTGGTTCCCCTGTCTTTTCTCTCTCCATATTTGGTTCCTTGTTGATTCCTACAGTTCAACTTGTTCGGCAAACTATTAAGTAAGGAACCTAGGAATTCGATGGTCGGACCTGACTAGTTATGCAAGATCTAAGAATGGAGAATGATAAGGAAAGGGGAAATTTCGATTGGAATTCATAGGTTTTTGTTGACGAACTATAGGAAACGATGATCATAGACGATGGGGGGGGGACGATTTAGTCACAGACGAAATTAATGTTTGAATGTTAATTATTTGACCTTCTCCACCTTAGAGATCGGGAGCAAGAATGGTCTCTTCTTGCTGACCATCTCCCTTCATCATGCCTTAGAGCATCTAATGTGTTGCGGAGATCGTGAAGTGTAAAAGGAGGATGGGGCTGAAACTTGAAGATGAGAGCCTAGAGAGAGATTTTCTTTTTCTTCTTCTTCTTCTTCAAATTTTAGAGAGAGAAACCGACAAACCAAGACAGAATAAGTGCTCTAGGGTTTTCTCCAAGCTTGAGGATTGAGGATTTTCACCTTCCAACGGTGATTTCTACAACAAGAAAGTCACACACAGCACCATGGTTCTTCCTCTTCACTTTGTTGTAATCCCTAGTTTAGCTATGGAGTAGTACTCTTTTTCACCTGGGTATTGTAAACCCTAGCTCTAGATATGTGATAGATTGTATGAATTGAATGCTATGTGCATGTGGGTTGTGTTTAATGCAAAGTTTGAGGTATTTACAGAATTATCGAGTTGTGTTCTTCATTTCTCATTACCATGCCAATTGGACCTAGGCAGAGAGAAACCCCCTTGTTTGCTAGAGGCTTTGAGAAGTTGGGTTTCTTGGAAATTTGAGTCTCCCGCCTAGGGAAATTTATGGCAAGCCTCAAGTTTTGATTTAACACTGTGATTTGGTTGTTATTTTGCCAACCGGATTAAGTTCCGAGGGAGTAGCCTTAACAACCCTTGGTTGAGCAGCCAAGAGAGCTAATTCCTTAGCTTAATTTTTCATTCCTTGGCCTATTGACCGAGATAGTGAAGTTTCTTCACTAGTTGCGCTCTCCTCGCGGTGTATGAGCACACTCCTACACATTGGTACTCTATTCGATCGATCTTGATATATAGCTAGGGGGAGCAATACCCAGGTGAAGCTTTCTCATATAGATTCCAAAACCATTTACCTTCTGCATGTTTTAAATTTTAGACCTTAGTTTTCACTAAAAATCTATTACTAGGTAATGTTTTAAAAGCTTGAAGTAGGAGTACATGGACCGGCACGGGTTGACATTTTAAAACGCTTACCCTATACTGCACCCTACTAGAGTTTATACTTGAGCTCTAGTCGGGATTTAATTGTGGTAGTCACTGTGAGTCAACATTCTAAGGTTACTTGTGGCCACCACTAGCGAGATGCCTTGGATTTTAAATACAATTGCATTCCACCTGTCGCAGAAGCCAACAAGCTATTCTTCACTCCCTTGTTTTCAGCTGATTATGTCCAAGACTGTTAGCCTCTGACGTATTTGTGAGGCAAATTTGGATGAAATGAGAATCGCTAATTACTTAGAGCTCTCGATGATTCTTTCTAGGAGTGAGATGTACCAGGCTACGTGATGCCCATTGAACTTGACGGGAATTGCACAAATCCATGTTAGAGGCGTTTATGAGTAGCATTTGTCAATACAAAATGTTTAGGGGATCGGATGAATCAGTGCTTTTGCTGTAGGTAGGTAGTCTCAATGATGAAATTTTGGGCAAGACCTATGTTTTGAATAGCCTCTTGGCGAGCGAATTATGAAGAACACTAGGCCATTTGGCATAGGACGGTCTCATATGTTTTTCAAGGAAGTCAAGATCCAACTCCATACATTTCTCTTCATTGGGCTCCTCACCCTCACTTAGGCTGGGGCTATCGAGCAAGGCGATCGCTTGGACCTTCTCCTTCCCCTTCCTTGCTTTGAAAAATTTTGGCCCGCTTTTCTTTATCCGACGTTTCTCCTTTAAGAAAGGCTAAAATCTCACTAAGTTTGTCTTGAGAACCTTGCATGGCGACTCGCTTCTTCAACCCCCCTTCCTTCTTCAAAAATGTGGTCTCTCTCCTCGGAAAAGATCAAGAACTACCTCTTCTTTGCTTTCTTCCTCATCCTCCACAACTTCTTTCCTCACCCTTTCTCTCTCTTCTTCTTCCATAACTGATTGGAGAGCAAGTCGCCATGCAAGGTTCTCAATAAGTTCAGCTTGCATCTCCTCGCTTGGGCCCAGCATGTCAGAGCGGAAATGGGGAAAGTTGTGATCTACCACCAGAGGATACACTTGATCATGATTATCATGGGAGCTTTCCTTGACAACTTCTGTATGCTCCTCAACATCCTCATGATTGCCTTCTTCTTCCTCCACCTCTACTTGTATGGCAGCATAAAGGTTGTCTTGAGAAAACTGTGAACAGGCTTTCTCAATGACCTCTATGTGCTCCTTTATGCTCCGAAGGGTATCCTCTGTTTCACGGGAAAATGAGAAGTCAGTTTGGGAAATGGCCTGGATATGAGGATCCATCTCGGGAAAGGATCTCTCAGGTACTCGAGCAATCTGCTCCATGAGAAGCCTCAAGTGATAGTTTGGATCCGGCTGTGGAGTGTAGCATGGCTCTGCCGGATCGTCCGTGAAGGCTGTGGCAAACCCAATATCTGATGGTCCTTCTTGTTGTGGGAGGAATTCTTCTTGATAAGGAGATTGTTCTTGAAATACCCAGGGGTCTGATTGTTCTTCGTAGTAGGGGGGTTGGTACTGAAACCCGACTCCATAGTCTTCTCCTCCTTGGTTACTCCAGGGAGTCTCGGGGTAATACCACTCGGATGGTGGTGGATACCCCCAATGGTTGGAGAAGCCATGAGGGTCCATGATTCAGATCTGCACCAACAAAAACAAAAAAACACCCAAGTGAAAAGCAAGGGCGGAAAACAAAAGAAAAACGCCAAAGTAACAAACTTCCGCCTTTCCTAATAATCTAGAAAGTCCCCGGCAACGGCGCCAAAAACTTGACACTCCAAAACACAACACCTAACAATGGCCAAGTGTAACCCATGAAAGAGACTGCAGTATAGTGGCACAAGTAATAAATATCGAATCCACGGGTCCCTAGAGTTATTATTACTCAGCTTCAGTTCATTATCTAGCAAACTAGATTAAGGATTGATTTACTAAACTACTCTACTAACTACTCTACTAACTACAAGTTGGGAACTCACTTAGGTATGATTCCCCCTAGCTCCTCGCATCGCACGTTACCACAAAATGAGAGAGAGCATATATTTCTAATTTTCAATTTCCATTTTAAAAAATAAAAATATTAAGTTCGGATTTATTAAATATTAAATAATAATATTTAATTAAATTACTTTCAAATTTCCTTTAATTGTGGTGGAGAGAGAGGATTATGGAGAAGATCAAGAGAGAGAGAAAGAGAATCATGAATGAGTAATATTAATTATATTTGTATAATATCTCATTTACTCTTAACTACTATTAACTACTAACTCTTCATTAACTACTTAATCTACTATCAGCAAATAAAAATCGTTTAAGTATCACCTTAAGCAATGAAGCTTAAGGATCGGATCTGACCCGGAAAAAGTTGAGCACAAGTCTCTCAAGTTTCAAATCTCATTCAAACGACCAAAGGTAATTTAATGTAAAAAAACTGGAGGTGGTCCGCCCAACCCAGCTAGCTAACACTAGACTGGCAATTATTATCCAAATCTTTTAGTTCAATCCAATATTTCAACTAAAATATCCTTTTAGCTCTAATTGGATTGGTGGATTAAAGATTGTTGATAAATTAAAATTCAGTATCTATACTTTTTATATTTTATATTTTAGTAACTAAAAATTTTCATTACGACATTTTTGTATCTAGAGTTTTTAAAATGTACATAATAGTCCAAAACATTTGAATGTATTTGATACAATCCACCCATTCATAAATCCAATATACTTTCCACCTTTAACAAACACTAGGAGTCGTTTGCTTCGTGCATTTGAAAAATGATGGTTTTGGTATAATTTGAGTTTTGAAATACCATGGATATATGAGCGTTTTGAGTGCATTATGAATTTGATAAACACCATTGTTTGTTTGATAGATTTTGTTAATTAAAGGTTTAATACACTTGTATATCCAAAAGTATCACGGTTGTGCCAATAATATCCAAAAAACCGGAAATACCACTTATATCCATGTTTTAAAGTTGTTCTTTGCCAAATCTATCCATCTCCGTTAAATGCTTTGACGGCGTTACTAACTCTGTCAACATAGCTGACGGCAAGCTGATTGTACGCCAACTATGCAGACACGTAAGCGCCACCTACGCCAAAAGTGCCACGTAAGAGTGAATTAAAAAATGCCAATTTTTTTTAAAAAAAAACCTAATCCCACATATTACCAATGATGACGAACAACGAGGTGCTCTGAAATCCCTTTCTCCTTTCGTTTTTTAGGGTTCGCACCCTGGCGGCGACAAAATCTCCTCCTGCCGACTGAGGCTCCTCCAAGCGATTTAAGATCCTCCCGCCGACTGTATATACTCCCTAAGATTGAAGATCCTCCCGCCGAGTGAAGGTTTCGGATTCGTGGTTTCTGGCGATTTGGCGACTCCTGCGATTCTGGCGGATTTGGCGATTGGCGATTGGCGATCGGCGACCCAGATTCACGACAAAAGCGATTTGCAGGCCCAGATTTCCATTTGTCGTAGGTGATTAACTTCTTTGTTGATTCTCGTCTCTGCATTTGAATTTAGTCGACGTTTCGCCATGTCGAAGAGATGTTCTTCTTCAACTTCGACACAAGGTCATGGGGTGGTACTTTGCAAACACAACGTGGCTTGTGTGGTTAATACCTCTGGTACGGAAATGAACCCAGGCAGACAGTTCTATGGGTGCCGATATTGGAAGGTAAGGTGGTTTTTGGTATTTGAGGTTGCCTTTGGTGAATGTGTTTTTTGAGGTTGCCTTTTATGGTGCAGAACGAGAAAAAGACATGCGGTTTCTTTAGGTGGGTACATGGGATGGTTGATGAAGTGGATGAAGAAACCTGTACAATTGGGAGTTCTCAGCTGAAGCTCGAGGATAATATGCGTATAGCCGAGTCGAAAGCGGAAAGGAGAAAGAAGGAGAATAGAAGTTTGGTTGAAGAGTTGTCAAGGTTGATGAAGACTCAAGAAGTTATGCTGGCTGAAGGAAGGAGATTGGCTCATGACATCCGTCTCATCCGATATCATTTCACAGTGGTTGTTGTAGTGAATTTCATATTGCTTGTTCTTTTGTGGCAGCACCTTGTTATGTAGAAGTAGTTCTATTGTACTAGGTTTGCTTCCATGAGAAAGGCGATTGTTGTATCTTAGATGAGATGTTAAACACAAGGGAGTTGTGCCAGCACCAGGTTTGCTGTCAATTGTAGTTGTTGTAGTTTATGAGCTTCGAATTTGATATGCTAAACACAAGGTAGTTGTGTTATCTTTCTCCTTTTGAGTTAAATAGTTTAAGTTGTTGTAGTTGATGACCTTCCAAACATGAGCTCCAATCTGATATGCTAAATAGTTGTTCATTACACTGGAGTCTAAGATTATGAAGCATAACAGTCAGCTCCAATCTGATATGCTAAATAGCTGTTCATTACACTGGAGTCTAAGATTATGAAGCATAACAGTCAGCTCCAATCTGAGATGCTAAATACCTATTCATTACAGAGTAGTCTAAGATTCTGAAGCATAACAGCCAGCTCCAACCTGAGATGCTAAATACCTATTCATTACAGAGTAGTCTAAGATTCTGAAGCATAACAGTCAGCTCCAATCTGAGATGCTAAATACCTATTCATTACAGAGTAGTCTAAGATTCTGAAGCATAACAGCCAGCTCCAATCTGAGATGCTAAATACCTATTCATTACAGAGTAGTCTAAGATTCTGAAGCATAACAGTCAGCTCCAATCTGAGATGCTAAATACCTATTCATTACAGAGTAGTCTAAGATTCTGAAGCATAACAGTCAGCTCCAATCTGAGATGCTAAACAAAATGGGCCATTACACGAATCAGCTAAACAAAATGACCTCTAGTGAGGTAGCTTAATGGCCTATCACAAAAAATAATGCCTTTATCCGTCTAAGGTTGAGTGTTGGGGGGCTGGCTACCATGCATCTCGATCTCAGTGGGTTGAGAGCCTCGAACTGGCCGTCCTTGAGCGCCATTGAGCTGAAACCATGTCATGTTAAAATAAGCCTTTGTGCATACAACAATAACATGTTCTATTCATTATTGAGAAAGCAGGTACTCACTCTAACGTATTGGTTACCGGTAGTCTCGTTAACATATACTCCTATCCCGGATGTGGCAATTCGTAACTCGCGTTCAATCATTCTTCAGTCGCTAACATTGAGTCTAACATCCTATGCAACCATTCCATATACTTTAGCTTACTTGGATTCATAGCATACATAATTCATCATTCATGTAGATAGCTTACTTGGATTCCAACCCCTCAATTCAGAGGACAGGTTCTGACTATGTAACCTGCAGCACCTATCTTGACCTCACACTTATCATGCAAAGTCTGTCTTGCAGTGCATAACCTTGCCACCTCCTTTTCCTTCTCTATCCTTTTTCTAATTCTAGGGCATAACAGATCGGTACAATTCAACATCATCTCATACTTCACAACAACCCTATCCATAACATACCCTCTAATTCCCTCTAACATGTCAATGATTCGCATTCCCCTATACTTGAAAATCACCCCATTCCAAGTTTCACAAATATTAGATTCAACCGAGTCACACTTTGGTAAGGTAGACAAGAATGCACGGCAAAAGGACCTAGGTTCTGCATTCATGAAATCAGTGAAGGGGGTTGTACCATGTTCCTCACCTTCAATACCTTCCATTTCAGTTGTGGCATTCTTCCAATCAACCTCATTGCAAGAGTATACTGCTTTCCAGAAAAGCTTTCTCCCCCTATCTGTCTTGTTCTTGACTTTCCAGTTAGCATACACGTGCCTTGCGCACTTACGATGTTCGGCCTCGGGTAACAAGTCATGTAATGCCTCCACTAACCCCTGCAAAGTAAACAACAGTGTTAGAAATAATGCATGTGGAATTTAATTGAATTTAATGGAATTTAAAAGGCAATTGGGTCCTACCTTTTGCTGGTCCGATATGACAGACCACCCCCTACCATCCCGAAGCTCCAAATCTTGAGCTAATGTGTTCACAAACCACAACCATGAGTTTGTGTTTTCTCCCTCTACAACTGCCCAAGCAATTGGGTACATTTGGTTGTTGCTATCCTTACCAACTGCCGTTAGAAGCATGCCTTTAATTTCTCCCTTCAAAAAACATCCGTCCAATCCGAACATCGGACGACACGCTTCAAGAAACCCATCCCTTAATGCAGAGAATCCTATGTAAAATCTTTGGAAGTACACCTTGTCTTCTGAAGGGTGCGGCTCAACTCCAAGAATGAAGTTCCCTCTAGGATCTCTCTTTTTCAACTCTCCCAAGTAAGACCTCACCATGTGATAATCTTCCACAAGTGAACCACTCAACATTTTGATAGCACTTATTTTGGCTCTATAGCAGGTTCTTCTAGCCACCTCTATATTATGTTTCAATTTTACCTCTGCCATGATTTGAGTTGGCGCCCACTCCGGATTAATTCTGAATCTCTCGAGCATATCCTGTGCAATCCAGTGGGCAGTGACTTGGTTAACCCGCAGTTGTCTTGCACAAGAATGCGGCAGCCCGGTTTTCCTCACCATGAAGCTCTGATTTCGCCTGAACCAGCTAGCATATACCCTCCATTTGCAGTTCTTATCCTTGCATTTGACCTCTCTTCTTGATTTCTCAACCCTAATCCATCTCAAACCGGCCCCATGTGCTACAGAGTGGCGAACCACAGCTGCCTTAAATTCCTCAGGACTTACAAACTTCATCCGCGGCACGAACTGGAGAACCTTGTGGTTACAATGTGGATCGTATTGCGGTGCATCGTCGAAGATGTCCCCACCTTCCGAATCAGAAAGATTGGCTCTTACATGGTTGGAATCCTCAGAGAGCCTATAACTCGAATGGTTCGAGTCTGGTGGCCTAGCTTCTTGCATTGGAGGTACCTTGGCCGGTTCATTCACATCTTCATTCACACCATTACCTTCATTAACACCATTACCTTCATTCACATCTTCATTCACACCATTGTCCCCATTCTGACCATTATCCCCAGCCAATCCATCCTCCTCCTCAGAGTCATCATCAGAGGATTCATCCTCCTCCAAAACATCAAGTTGTTCGACCTCCTCTCCATGGCCATCAATACGTGCCTTCACCTTCCTTCTCCTACTCTCCCCATAGGCTCTAAGATTTTCCATTGCTTCATGGTACTCTTCATCAGAAGTGTCTGCATCTTCTGAATCGTAAACATGGTATATTTCTCGAGCAACAGATGCCTCGACACCATCATGTGCAGCCAAGGAAGCAACTGGACTATCCTGAACAGCATCTGGATCATTCTCTCCAAAAGCCTCATCCAATGAATCAGCCATCTGTAACAGCCTTAATCAGTTTTTTAATCACCACTATCCCAATTAACAATTCTTTAATCATTAACTAACAAACAACTCGAAAAAAGCAACGATTGACATTATTCAATTCTAGGGTTTTTGCAACCAAAGGTAATGATAATTCTATCCAGAAGATTCAGCTACTCACCGTCAGATTCAGGGGCAATATCGATGTGGAATCCAGTCGAGTGGTCCCCTTGTTCTTCTGTCTTTACTCCTCGCTACCAACCAAAAAAGCAAGAGAAAAACACTACTATACGAACTTTCTAACCACAATCAACACCCACAACTACCAATTCAAAAGGGAGACTGACCTGTGGCTCAACTCGAGGTTGCTCAGAAATCCCCCTTTTCGGTGCGATTAGGGTTTCTTCGAATTTTATCCTCGCGTTTCCAGGGTTCGTCGCGAATAGGGTTTCCACCGGAAAGGAAGGATGGGAGGTGCCAGCCTAAGCTCGTCGCGTTTCCAGGGTTCGTCGTGATTAGGGTTTCTTCGAAGGTGGGCGAGAAGGTTGATCGACGAAGGATGAAGGAAAATCAGGGGATACGACAGATTAGGGGGTCGCTGCCTTCGTCCTTCTCCATCGCATTCGTCTTCCTCCGTCGCCGTCGTCTTCCTCCGTCGCCTTCGTCAAAATCTCTCTCCTTCGTCGCCTTCGTCGCCCTCCACAGCCGAAGGGTTAGGGGTTGGTCGATGGAAAAAATCAGAAGGGTAGAAAGTTAGGTCGAGTCGAGGATGAGGTCAGATGGAGTCAATTGAATTTTTTTTTTGTTTAATTTTCCTATAATATTAAGTAGCTATACACGTGGATAAGTAAAGAGGAATTGAGAAATAAACGTTCGCCACGTAAGCACCACCGTTAGTCCAGTCATGCTTTAAGTTAACACCGTCAAAGAATGTGACGGAGTTGGATATAAGTGGTATTTCCGGTTTTTTGGATATTATTGGCACAAACGTGATACTTTTGGATATACAAGTGTATTTAACCTTAATTAAATGCGTATGTATGAAGTGTAACTTATCTTTATTGCCCTCGATGATATAAGAAGATAAAAAAATATGAGGGTAGGTTTGGTAAAAAATATGGACCCTCAAAGTCCATAGGTCCTATGATGGCATCGATCATTTATAGCTTTTTTTTATGGATTTTGGTGAAACGCGTCCGTCATTAGTTGGTTCGAACTTCGGAGTTGGGGATTTTTTCAGGTTTGGATAAATACAAAATGGAAAAAAAAGGGAAAGTGAGTGGTGAAGACAGCGCAGAGGTTAGAAAGAATAAATGGCCGCCACAGTTCAAATAATACACTATTATCACGCGTTTATATCTATTAAAAAATGAATGAGAATTATATCCTATTTTTTTGCCGGTTCCTTCGTTGTCTCTCGTTCTTTTTCTTCTTTCGGGACATTAAAATTTAAAATACATATACAGATTTGACCCAAAAAAAAAATACATATACATATGTCCATTCATAGCCATAGCCCATATGATATGGGTCCGCCAGTTTGGGTTGTTTCTGTTCAGGCATTCCCTAAGCAAAATAACCCCCATCACATCCAGTTTCGGGTTTAAACCCGCTACACTATTCATCGGGTCGGGTTGGGTTTGGGTTTAGGTAAACCCGCCCCATGGGTACCCGCCCACACATATAATTCCTTTCCCGGTACATTTAATATTCTAAATAATATATCTTCCTTAAATAACTAATATTCTATATGTTTGTAGAGACATGTATAATTTGTTCTTTCTAATTGTTTAGAATGAAGTTGATATTATAAAGTGGAGAGTGAAGAAACTTAGTTGACGAGGAAGAAGCTTTCAATTAATCTTATTGTTTATAATTTTATATATGTTTATCTTTAATTTTGAACAATTTGTATTGATCATTTGCGGTTTGCTTGTATGCTCTATATTGGTTTTTTTTTGTATGAGAAAATTGATGTTAAACTTTTATTTTGAAAGAAACTTGTTATTGTAAATTTTTACCACAAAAACCCACGGATACCCATGAACCCGCGGATACCCAGTGGGTTGGGTTGGGTTTGAGTTTTTCAAACCCAACGGGTTTTACCCCGGGTTTTTTTGGCGGATAAACCCATGAATTTGGGTTTGGGTTTGACAAAACCCGCCCCAACCCGACCCATTGCCATCCCTAATCACATCCCCTCCCTCCCCTCCCCTCCTCTCACCACTATGAGTGTTGAAATGGTAAATATACTAATTACAAAATTAAATAAGTCTAAATTTTATTAACAATATTATATAATATCATAATCAAACTGTGTAAACTAATAAAACAATCAAATTAATCAAAATAAAGTTAATCGGTTTGGTTAATTAGTTAACTAAAATAACCAATTTACCATCATATATTATTACGTGAGAAAAATTTCTGGATAGTACATCAATTTGCAATTTATATATTGAATAACACATAACAATCAACAAATAATTATAGTTAACCCTTAACATAAATACAGGTAACTAATATAATTATCTTACATTTGACTCTTAAGTCTTAAGTGGTTATGCAAAGTATTAAGTATGTGTATATAATATACGACTTTGCTACGGTGACTTGCACTTTTCGGTCGACCTCGGATAGGATTAGGTCGACCTAATATGCTATTTCAGTTTTGTGAGGCTCAACGACGAGGTTGACCTTTTACAGCAAATGGTCGACCTCTTTGGGAAGCGAACAATATATAAGGTCGACCCAAATATCTCAAAGGCCGGCCATTTTGCTATTCGAAGGTTAACCTCATAAGTGAAAAGGTCGACCTTTGTTTCATTAACTGATTAGCATCAAAGATGGGATTATATAGGAAAATAGTATAAACGGTCGACCTGACAAGTACGAGGTCGAACGTGTGCACATCGTATATGTATTGGATAAGGATTCCAACACCAGAAAGGCAACCCTAACTTGTCTGCCACTTAATTCGACCCAGTCTCGTCCTAAATATCTATAAATACGAATATATGTCACCTTCACCGCCACCGAAACTCTTAATTTGGTTTTTTGTACGGTTAGAGCTTTTGTAAAGAAGAAGTTCCTTTGCGGTTGCTGTTGTACGTGTTTCAAGAGATCGACCACATGAAAGGTGAGGTCGACCTATTTTAACTATCGTCGTCATCTTGTCTAATTCGTAATTTGCACTGTTTAATTTGATGTTTTGTTGCGTGTAGAAGATCATTCGGTTGACCCTTATTTCAATCAGGTCATCCTCTGTTTGACAATTGCGAGAAATTGAATTAGGGCACAACACTCGGACTTCTGTACTTGCGAGGTAAGGAAGATCAAACCCAATAGGTCGAGCTAATTCTTATCATGGTCGACCGTTTCTATTTGTTTTGCTTGTTTATCCATAATGTTGACTTTGGCTTTGTTTGTAAGACTATGTTGTGCTTAAGAGGTCGGTCGATCAATGTGTTTGGTCGACCTATCAATTGTTCGTGGTAGTATTACACGTATTTTTGTTGGTAAATTGTTAGCTGGATAGGTCGACTTAGGAAGAGCAAAGGTCGACCTAATTGGTTCTGGTAGTGACAACTTACATCTTTAAGATCAACCTAATTGGTTCTGGTAGTGACAACTTACATCTTTAAGATCGACCTAATAATATTTCAGGTCAACCACTTCTCTGTTGTTGGTCATTTGTACAAAATTAGAGTGACCACCTAGGAGGATTCAGTCGACCGCAGTTAGGAATAGGTCGACCGAATTGTGCAAGTTACGATGACTTGCAAGGCATCATAGATGCACCCTATAATATATTAGATATATGGCTAATTACTTAACTGGTTAGTTTGTCTGAAATCAAACCAAACAAGCTAAAAAATTTAATCAAACCAATTATCCAAATTATCCAAATATTATTGATAAAAACAGCTACTACGGTAACCACTCCGTTTAAACACCCTGTTCATTACAAATACCATATTCTCATCATTTTCATTTTTTAGGTTGTCTGGAAGCATGATTTCATTAATTGGGGAGTTCATATTTCTTTCTTTCTTTCCTGCTATGAATATCTTCTTTCTTTCTCTTAAGTCTATTTCGGTGATAATAATAATAATAATAATAATAATAATAATAATAATAATAATAATAAGTTGGGGTGAGTAGCATAACATGAGAAGAGAAGAGACATCAGCTTACTCCTTTCTCGCCCCTGATTTGTATGCTTTTATCTAATTGGGAAAAGGACAGGGTGACACACAAAAACTACAAAGGGGATAATGTAAGCTTGCAATTCAGTTTCCTCCTACCTTATTTATTAAAGACCAACAAAACCAGCCATCTGACGCAGAGGAATTTTATAATGCTATATAGTATTGGTGATATAGGTTTTTCCCTTTATGGTACAACTTGAAGTTGTACCTTTAACGTTATGGTACAACTTCAGATTGTACCTATACTCTTTTGTCAAATTGTTTTATGGTACAACTTAAACTTGTACTTTCATTTGATGGTACAAGTATAAGTTATAAAGTTGTACCATAACATAAGAGCACAAATTCTTTTATGGTACAACCTGAACTTATACATTTAACGTTATGGTACAACTTTAAGTTGTACATTAAAGTACCGATACTTTATAGCATAGTAGAAGTGCTCATCCGACGCATACATGTACGTAAACCAACGGTATGAGTCATAGTGATGAGGTCTAGGATATGGTGCATAACTCTGTGATCGATTCGGAAATTTAGAATAATTTCATAATATCAAACATGAGATCATATCAAGGATAGTGATTTAAAAATTATTTAGTATACTGTGCATGCCCTTAAAATGAGGTCTAAGATATGGTGCATAACTCTATGACGTATCCAAAATTTGATTCAAGGAGATGCACAATATACTAAAATAAATTTTGAACCACTATCCTTGATATAATCCCATGTTTGATATTATGAAATTATTCTAAATTTTCAAATTGTCAAGATTTTGTTCTTAATGTTTATCCCTTCAAATTAAATAACCATTCGCAATTTCATTTCGCTCGATTTGAAGGTTGGTCATCTGTTGCATTGCAAATGTTTATATCAACATGTGTACTGACTAGAGAAAGCAGCAATCTAAATATAGTTTCACAAACATATACAATTATGTGAACCAATTTTTCCCCCTACTACCATTATCATAGAAAGTTTAGTGATTAGCTCTAAACTATGAACCCTCTTACCCATTTTGATGAACCAGACTGTATTACTATAGAAATTAGCAGGTAGAATTAATTTATATAATTGATTGTAGTTCTGATGTAAATATTTGACGATTAACATTGAAATTTAGAGTTTAGATTTCATTATTGGTGTATTTGTACTACTATATTTTGTGTATTTC